CATCACCCTGAGAACACACACACACAGGTGGAAGCATCACCCTGAGAACACACACACACAGGTGGAAGCATCACCCTGAGAACACACACACACACAGGTGGAAGCATCACCCTGAGAACACACACACACACACACAGGTGGAAGCATCACCCTGTGTACTACCCACTAGATTTCTGAAGTCTGTTCTGAGCAGTCTGTTACCTTCACTCACACAGATAGTAAACATGTCCCTTCATTCTGGAATATTCCCAAAGGCCCTGAAAACTGCAGTCATCAGGCCCCTGCTAAAAAAGAGCAGGCTGGATGCTACGGTACTTAACAACTATCGTCCCATCTCAAATCTGCCATTTATGGGGAAAGTCCTTGAAAAAGTTGTCTACCTACAGCTTACTAGATTTCTTATAATCAACAACTCATTTGATATGTTTCAGTCCGGCTTTAGACCCCACCACAGCACTGAGACTGCTCTCGTTAAGGTTACAAACGATATCCGGCTGAACACTGACGCAGGACAAGTCTCAATCTTAATCCTGTTAGATCTGAGTGCTGCCTTTGACACCGTCGACCATGAGATCCTCTTACAGAGACTAGAGGACTGGGTTGGCGTCGCTGGCACCGCCCTAAGTTGGTTTAGGTCTTACCTTGAAGCAGCCGCGGCGGCAGGGATAGGCCTGGGTAGGCCGGTGCCTACCAGTTTTTTTCTTGGCCTACTCAAATTTGTTCTTTGCCTCTCAAGTCATTAGCCTTTTTATTAAAAGTCATAATTTAAATATTGTTATTTTTAAACACAAATTATTGCTAATGCCTAAATGTTGCGTTCTAATGTTTTAAGAAAATATAACCCCCTGAGCGTCATCACGTTCCTACGTTGCTTCAAATATAGTCCTGTTTATTGGCTGAACAATTTTGTCCAATATCATATCACACAGCGTGAAGCTCGTTCCCGAGAACAACAGCTATTCCTCGTCTTAAAGATTGACAACGCTCTCAAAGCATTCATAACAGAGCAGCCTTTTTCATTTTAGTTTTAAGAAAGTTCAGCGTGAACTTTGTGAGGCAGAGGAGCCAGAGGCCCGTAGGTCCCAGAGGAGGAGGGTCAGGCCAGGCTCGCACTGATGAGGTAAACTCTAGGCCTGTGTGAGACACACCTTCGGCACAACACGCCAAAACCAGGGACGTGCGGTGAGGTTTGTGATTGGGGAGGCACTGACTTTAAAAGTCAGATTTACAATCATTATTCAAATAAAATAGCATTTAATCACCAATGCAATGACATCCACAAACTTTATATACTGTAAAGATAAGAGAACCAGCTTCTTTTAATAATCTCACAACAAATCTAGCTGCTGACTCTGCTCCGCATCAAACAACATCTTTAAGAAGCGCAGGTGCGAGAGACGCGAGGAGAGAGAGACGCGAGGAGAGAGGAGCAGAGAGAGACAGAGAGGAGCAGAGAGACGGAGACGCGAGGAGCAGAGAGAGACGGAGACGCGAGGAGAGAGAGACGCGAGGAGAGAGAGACGCGAGGAGAGAGAGACGCGAGGAGAGAGGAGCAGAGAGAGACAGAGAGGAGCAGAGAGAGACAGAGAGGAGCAGAGAGAGACAGAGAGGAGCAGAGAGAGACAGAGAGGAGCAGAGAGACGGAGACGCGAGGAGAGAGAGACGCGAGGAGAGAGGAGCAGAGAGAGACAGAGAGAGAGCAGAGAGACGGAGACGCGAGGAGAGAGAGACGCGAGGAGAGAGGAGCAGAGAGAGACAGAGAGGAGCAGAGAGAGACAGAGAGGAGCAGAGAGAGACAGAGAGGAGCAGAGAGAGACAGAGAGGAGCAGAGAGACGGAGACGCGAGGAGAGAGAGACGCGAGGAGAGAGGAGCAGAGAGAGACAGAGAGGAGCAGAGAGAGACAGAGAGGAGCAGAGAGAGACAGAGAGGAGCAGAGAGACGGAGACGCGAGGAGCAGAGAGAGACGGAGACGCGAGGAGAGAGGAGCAGAGAGAGACAGAGAGGAGCAGAGAGACGGAGACGCGAGGAGAGAGAGACGCGAGGAGAGAGGAGCAGAGAGAGACAGAGAGGAGCAGAGAGACGGAGACGCGAGGAGAGAGAGACGCGAGGAGAGAGGAGCAGAGAGAGACAGAGAGGAGCAGAGAGAGACAGAGAGGAGCAGAGAGACGGAGACGCGAGGAGAGAGAGACGCGAGGAGAGAGAGACGCGAGGAGAGAGGAGCAGAGAGAGACAGAGAGGAGCAGAGAGACGGAGACGCGAGGAGCAGAGAGAGACGGAGACGCGAGGAGAGAGAGACGCGAGGAGAGAGAGACGCGAGGAGAGAGAGACGCGAGGAGAGAGGAGCAGAGAGAGACAGAGAGGAGCAGAGAGAGACAGAGAGGAGCAGAGAGAGACAGAGAGGAGCAGAGAGAGACAGAGAGGAGCAGAGAGACGGAGACGCGAGGAGAGAGAGAGAGACGCGAGGAGAGAGGAGCAGAGAGAGACAGAGAGGAGCAGAGAGACGGAGACGCGAGGAGAGAGAGACGCGAGGAGAGAGGAGCAGAGAGAGACAGAGAGGAGCAGAGAGAGACAGAGAGGAGCAGAGAGAGACAGAGAGGAGCAGAGAGAGACAGAGAGGAGCAGAGAGACGGAGACGCGAGGAGAGAGAGACGCGAGGAGAGAGGAGCAGAGAGAGACAGAGAGGAGCAGAGAGAGACAGAGAGGAGCAGAGAGAGACAGAGAGGAGCAGAGAGACGGAGACGCGAGGAGCAGAGAGAGACGGAGACGCGAGGAGAGAGGAGCAGAGAGAGACAGAGAGGAGCAGAGAGACGGAGACGCGAGGAGAGAGAGACGCGAGGAGAGAGGAGCAGAGAGAGACAGAGAGGAGCAGAGAGACGGAGACGCGAGGAGAGAGAGACGCGAGGAGAGAGGAGCAGAGAGAGACAGAGAGGAGCAGAGAGAGACAGAGAGGAGCAGAGAGACGGAGACGCGAGGAGAGAGAGACGCGAGGAGAGAGAGACGCGAGGAGAGAGGAGCAGAGAGAGACAGAGAGGAGCAGAGAGACGGAGACGCGAGGAGAGAGGAGCAGAGAGAGACGGAGAGGAGCAGAGAGACGCGAGGAGAGAGGAGCAGAGAGAGACGGAGACGCGAGGAGAGAGGAGCAGAGAGAGACAGAGAGGAGCAGAGAGACGGAGACGCGAGGAGAGAGGAGCAGAGAGAGACAGAGAGGAGCAGAGAGACGCGAGGAGAGAGGAGCAGAGAGAGACAGAGAGGAGCAGAGAGAGGAGCAGAGAGAGACAGAGAGGAGCAGAGAGACGGAGACGCGAGGAGAGAGGAGCAGAGAGAGACAGAGAGGAGCAGAGAGACGCGAGGAGAGAGGAGCAGAGAGAGACAGAGAGGAGCAGAGAGACGGAGACGCGAGGAGAGAGGAGCAGAGAGACGGAGACGCGAGGAGAGAGAGACGCGAGGAGAGAGAGACGCGAGGAACATAAACAATAATTTAAACAAGTTGCAGAACTCTTGAGCAGTGTTTGAATCAGTGTTTTTCGGAACAGCACTACTTTGCCGGTATCTGTCAATGTTCAACATAAAACACAGATTAACAAACTCCTCCCCCGCAGCCGGACTAACCTCGTAAGTCCAGTGGTGGTCTCCCAGTCTATATTAATTCTTTCTTTGTTTGAAAGTCCAATTGAGAAAAAAAATCTTCATTCAAATCATCCATTTTCCAGCAAAAGAAATAGCATTTTGGGCTGATTGTTTGTTAGCAACTCTGGTATGAACTTTATGCTCACTATCACCCCTAGCGGTGAGGCACAGATACCGCCTGCCTCACGCCAAGCTTTTTCCTTGTGTGTTCATCTACGATCAACAAAAGACTTAAACTAAATATAAATTGTACACACATACGTGCAATACACTACTAAACACTAAGAGGAGTTTAAAAAATGTTTTTAAAGCAGGATATTTGAAACAAACGGTGATATATCAACTGCACGAGCTGAGTGCACTCAGACACACACACACACACTGTGAGGGAGCGGTCTGAGGTGAGGCACGCAGGAGCGCTGCCTCACCTCGTCTCTTTGAATAGGAATAACGGGATTTCGGCGATTTTGACTTCAGAAATGATCAAAACTGATGGGAACCGTGCCGAATATACATTAAAAGCATAGGACAGTGGATATAAATTATATATTTAAACTAAAATAATTATTAGTTTCCAATAATGGCAGGTGAGGCTCTGCCTCCCCTGCCTCCCCGTGAAAAAACCTTGCAGAAGAACGGGTATAGCTCCTTTAATAAAAGAATAAATACAAATTTTAACAGGAATTTTGACTGTTTTTAAAATGTAAAGTTGTTGTACTAAATTTCAAACCACTGATGATAAAACGATGTATAATATCCATCACACTAGTAGTTCGATTGTCTTCATAACATTTGGTACTAACACTAGTTTTCACATCCTTTATTGACAGGAAGTATGCTGCTTGATTTGTGCAGTGAGTAATTTTATTTATTTTATTGTATTGACGTGTAGCACGTTACAATACAATAAAATACAATTACAATTTATTTTGGTTTCTATACCTAAATCACAACAGCAGTCGTCTTAGAGGGCTTAACAAAAGCATTCGAAATCACCACACAGATCAGAGGAATCAACAGTTAAGACACAAAAAAGAATATAGAAACACATGTTGATAATTGTCATAATTGTAGATTTTAAAGTGTGCTAGCTGGATCATCTCACAGTCCTTTTTGTGGTGAACTACTCTACAATAAACTCAACTTCCCTACACAGAAGCGATATCCAC